GACACTATTTGTTGAAGAGAATGTCTTGTTTCTATTGGATATTCTTTCCTGCTTTGTCAAAGATCAGTTGACCATATAGTTGTGGGTTTTCTATTCTATTCCATTGACCCACGTGTCTGTTTTTGTGCCAGTACCATACTGCCTTAATGATTACAGCTTTATAATATAGCTTAAAGTCTGGTATTGTGATGCTTCCAACTTTGCATTTTTTTTTCAGCATTGCTTTGGCTATTTGGGGTCTTTTGTGGTTCCACATAAATTTTAGGATTTGGGGTCTTTTGTGGTTCCATACAAATTTTAGGATTATTGGGGCGCCTGGATGGCTCAGTCAGTTGAGCGTCCGACTTCAGCTCAGGTCACGATCTCGCGGTCCGTGAGTTCGAGCCCCGCGTCGGGCTCTGGGCTGACGGCTCAGAGCCTGGAGCCTGCTTCGGATTCTGTGTCTCCCTCTCTCTCTGCCCCTCCCCCGTTAATGCTCTGTCTCTCTCTGTCTCAAAAAATAAATAAAAGTTAAAAAAAAATTTTTAGGATTATTTGTTCTATCTCTGTGAAATCTGCTGGTGGTATTTTGATAGGGTTGAATTAAATGCATAGATTGCTTTTGGGTAGTATAGACATTTTAACAATATTTGTTCTTCCTATCCAAGAGCATGGAATGTTCTTCTAGGTCTTTGTGTTCTATAATTTTCAGAGAACAGATCTTTTACCACTTTGGTTAGGTTTATTCCTAGGTATCTTACTGTTTTGGGTGCAGTTGTCAACGGGATCGATTCCTTGATTTCTCTTTCTGCTGTTTCATTGCTGGTGTATAGAAATGCAACTGATTTCTGCACGTGGAGTTTATATCCTGTGACTTTGCTGTTCACGTATTAGTTCTAGCAAGTTTTCCCCACCGAAGTCTCCTGACTGTTCCCCTGCTTCTGCCCTCACTCCCGTGTCAGCTCCCCGTATGGCAGTCAGGGTGATCCTTTCACAGTGAAGTCAACTACATCACTCCTCTGCTCCTAACCTTCTTGGAGCTCGGGGCACCTTGGTGGCTCAGTCGATCAAGCGTTCAACTTCAGCTCAGGTCATGATCTTGCGGTTTGTGGGTTTGACCCGCATGTTGGGCTCTCTTCTGTCAGCACAGAGCCTGTTTGGATCCTCTGTCCCTCTCTCTCTCTCTCTCTCTCTCTGCCACTCTCCCACTTGTTTTCTTTCTGTCTAAAATAAATAAATAAACTTAAAAAAAAAAAGCCTTCTTGGAGCTTCTTACCTCAACCAAAGCTCAAGCCCTCTCCAGAGCCCATCAGACCCCATCGGATCTGGCCCTCATCTACCTACCTGACCTCTTCTCCCCATACTCTCCCAACTGCAACTGCTGTACCTTGAATATACCAAGCATGTTCCTGCCTCAGAGACTTTGCACTTGCCTGGGGCACCCTTGGCTCTACATGTCCATGTGGCCCGTTTCCTCACTTACGCTCAAATGTCACCTTAGTGAGGCCTTCCCTGAGCACCACCTCACTATCTTGCTATCTCTCACGATATCGTTAGCTATTTATCCATTGGCTATCTTCTCCTTGGGATTGTAAATTTTCAAAGGTTCAGGAAATTTGAGCGAGTTCACCATTGTATTTCCTGTGCTTAGAGCAGTGCTGGGCATGTAATCAGGGCTCAACAATGTTTGTTGAATAAATAAATGAGCGAATGGCTACCCTCACCCCCACAGCACCTTTCATCCCTGCTTTGTCCTAACCTCTTACTAACTTTGGCAAAGAGAAAAAAGGGAATACTCAATGTCAAGACCCCGTAGATTCCTTCTGATGTCCCAAACTCTCAACACACTGGCCAGAAACATTCTTTTGATAGCCATGGAGATGGGAGGGATATATGAGCTCCCAAAATGAGTGAGTGTCTGGGATTCAGAGGGTGACAAACTCCTTAAAGGTACCTGGGTCCAGGCACAGAGGGGAGACTAAGTCCTGGCTTATGAGCCACAGAGGCTGTGGAGGATGGAAACAGGTTGTGTCAGTAGTTTTGTATTGTGGTTACCTGATTCACAGACAGAGCGAGCCCGTATCAACAGATAAAATTAGGTGACACACGACCGTTGTCATTGCGTGAGTCTGGTAGCTGTTTTTCATCTGAGTTTATTATACCCGTTCT